TTTTATTTTATTATTATTAATCGATAATAATAATGTTCATAGTGTATATATATGTATATATCATATAATTTTAATTATAATATAATTATAATACTAATATTGTATCTACCGTTCGTTGTCGTTCCCTTTGTCGTTGCCGCCGTCGTCGTCATCGTCGTCGTCGTCGTTGTTGTTGTTATCGGAATAGTTTCGATATCCAACGCAGATGAGAAAGGAATAATAGCTAGCAGGCCTAAAAGGCAAAGTCCCGCCAGCATCGTACATGAGAAACATTTTTTCTGGATGCGCATCCTACCGCATAATTCTGCAAGGCACTAAAAACCACCGAAACACTCTTGCTCTAAAAACTATTAACCCGACACACAAATAAATATTACAATATATCACTATGAAAACTAAAAAAAAAATATCCACTGTCACTTTGTTATTTCATCGAATACATTCGTTCACGTTGATCGTTCGTACATATCCCCCAATTAACCCTTCTATTATTATTATTATTTTTCTTCACCTCGTCGTATCTATTTTTTTTCTTTTACAACAACGATAATAATCGTCAAATTTATCGAAAAATCAAAAAAAAACAATGAAACGAATTTTTCGAAAGGATTATATACTTTTGATCTTTTAATATTCAATTTTTTCGAAGTACGTACAAAGAACGTTCTTGGGCCCCCCTTTTTTCTTTCTTTTCCGTTTTAATTCGTTGACCTCTCTCTCGTTTAAGTTTTTTCAAAGGGTGATATTCCGTTTTTATATTGGTTCTCAGTTTTTACGTACTACCTTTGCTGACCAGGGATAACACACTTGATCCGTGTCGAGGACGGAGGCGAAATGCAGCAGTGAGTGGTATCCATCTATCTCTCTCTTTCTCTCTCTTTCTACCTCCTACTCTCTTCTCATACTGTCTTCGTATTCGTCGTCGTTACCACTACCACTAATAATACCAATACCACAGTCACCGGTAGATCGCCATCACTATCACAATCACAAACTACCACACTACTAATATCTAAACTTTTCAATCCTTCTCTTTCTTTCTCTCTCTCTCTCTCTTTCTCTCTTTTAACCCCTCCCCCTCTTCCCCTTCTCTCTCTCGTATACTAGGCCTCAGGGAATTCTCTACGCTCACCTTGCTAGGCAACCCGATTCTATAGAGTGACCATAGCAAACGAAGAACTTCCTATTCTTTCAACCTTTCCTTCGAATATACTAAAAAAGAAAACACGTCTTTTTGTTTTATCCTTTTTTTTTTCTTTTTTTTTTTCTCTCATAAATGAATTCGAACGATAGAACTGGTAATGAGACACAATATGGAAAAGGATATTATAATCAAATAAAGAGTTTTATTTTATTTTAATTTATAATTATTATGTTGTATTATTATTTTCTTTTTTATTTTTTGCATTATATTATGCATTGTGTTGAAATATTTTGATCATTTTTGTTAATAAACACGATCGGTTTGTCTGTAATATTTCATTTGATATGTAACAAAAGTATGTCTCTCGATTGTAATGTCTTTATTTTATTTCATACCATTCATTCAATCAACGAAGCTCAATGTTTTTCAAAGAACATTTCTCTCATTAATATTTAAATTCAACGGCACGCCAATCGCGATCTCTGAATGTAGAACATTTTATTTATAATGTATCGAGGGGAAAGTGGTGAAATCGAAAGTAAGTATATGTCGTAGAAATAAGAATGTAAGTCAACTAATATTTTTCGTTTCATAAATTATATATGCATATTGTGAAGAACGTTATGATATTGTTTTTACGTTAGAAACATAATAATTATCATTTTTGTATTAATTCATATATACATTTCTTCGTCTATACGAGTTATCTTTCCAATATATTATCGATATTAAATTGAATTATTAGAAAAAATAATCTAATTATAATATATTGCATATTATACACGTGTTTATATATGTGCAAGCAACTTATGTTATTATTAAAATATATAATTGTATAATTTTTTCGTTATTATAATAATATTTATTATTATACTTACATTTTTTTATATTAACAATTTCCCCCCCCCTCCCCATACAATTGTTATTATTTTAATTTGAAATATAAATTTGTTTATTATAAAACGTATTTAATTTGTGCGTATAAATAATTACCGATCAACGATACTTTAAAAGTAAATGGATTTTCGGATGAGACAGAACCGAGATCGATGACGACATATTTTTAAAAAGTGATGGTGAAATTGTTCTTCGCACGAATATGAGTCAGGGAAAAATTTTGAATTCGAAAACTTTCGAACCCCCAAATAGAGAAATCGAAGAAATAATATAATTTTCATATATATATATATCTTATTCTTTCTTTTGATGATTTTCAAACGTTCATGGGATTATATATCGAATAGGAAACACCCGGTAGACTAATTGGGATTGGTCGAGGTCATCTCCTCGATTAAGTTTGGAAGAAGAGAGAGGAAAAGCAAGTGGGTTCTCTCTAGTCTCGCTGTTATGGTAGCAAGTAATATATAAACGCATAGAGTGTTATAATAATCACGGTTGTACGTTGGTTACTTAATCTTATGTCATGGTATGTCTCCGAGAAATCAAACTAATACGTTAAAATATTCGTACGATTTTAATGGTCGTTATTCGCATGAAACGTTGACACATCCTTTCAGGAAAACATTTCTTAATATAAGATTTTACGAAATAGTAATGTTTTACAATGACGCGTGAATCATCATGCCTGAGTATCGGTTTTCCTAAGAGTATACATCGAACTTCTATACACGAACGAGTATTTGCGAACATTGAATTTTAATTAGTTCTTTATTAGCAATGATAATCTTTCAACGTTACAACTTGTCTTTTAACATTCCGATAGTTGTGGTTTAACATTTAAAAAATATATACATTTTATTTAATTTTTTCTTTATAATAAAAAACGTAATAATTAATTAAATTTATTATTAATATTTCCATTTTGCATAATATGAAATTATATATAGACAATAATAAGATAAATGTGATATTATTTGACGTTATTTGTACGATTGTTCTTTATTTCTCGTAATTTTGATATTATTATTAACGTTTAATAGATTTTAAGGGAACGATTTTGAAGAAAAAAAAAATATATACATAAGTTTTAGCTGACGATAGATATGTCGGAACAACTTCGAAAAGTTTCTTGATTACCACAGCCAACATCACCCGAACCATCCTCGCAAATACCCCAATTATTTCCAGCCCTATAATGCCATCTAAGGACGCAATGTTCACAGGTAAGTCCTTGGGGAAGGACTGCTTCGATTGTGTAATCCTTTATAGCGTATGATGTGATATTATACTTGTACGACCCATCAGCCAATCGTATTGGATATTTCGCGAAACATTCGTCCGTTTCTAATTCCTTCGTATTGTTCAAAGGACAAATTGAAAATTCGAAATGTCCCAAATGAGAAGCTGTTAATTCGATTTGAATTTCAATGTAAGAACCTTCTCTATATCTGTAACAATAATTCTTTATTATATTTTTTCAATTAAATATAGTAATATAATAATATTGTGAGATGTGTAAAATTTATTTACTCTTCGACAATGAGTCCGGTACCATAAATACCGCCATTTTCGTTGGGTCTTGGTCGTGGTAAAGACCAATCGTCACCACACTCCCCGCAACGACCATTATTTTTTCGATATTGAATCTGTATGAAAATAATTATTTAAATAAATCGTTATAATTATTTAGGACAAGTGTTTATTTAAATTAATTGTACGTTGTGTATTATATATATAAAATGAAGATTTTCTAATGAACAAACATTTTCTTATAAAGGATGTCCCATTTAAATCGATTTTTTCAGACTGAAGGATTTACTTGTGAAATGTAAATAATTTTAATACGCGTACATAGCACCAATACGATTAATCAATATTAAAAGTAATATATCTTGTTAAATAATAATTTTTCTTCATAAGTTGTTTAATACTTTTACGTAAGGAATAAAAACCTGCATGAATTGGTATATTCAAAAATATATAATTTCGTTTAAAAAATTAAAGTAGACCTTCGTGTGACCTTTATGCATCCATCTACAATAAAATTAATAGTATCAGATAATGCGTTATTTTCAACTATTTAACTTTTGTCTAACACATTTTTTTCTATCATCAATAATTTCGAAGATATTTAAGTGAATCGATATAAATGGGACACTCTATGTAATGAAAAGATTTTACGCCATACGATAGGCAATATTTCAACTTGATTGTGTATACATGATTGCATATTTGCAGGCGAAATTCAATAACAGTGTATGAATATTTGAATATTTTTGACGATTATCGATTATTATTGAAAGATTTCGTAGAAAAATACTGATTATTATTATACCTCGGAAATAAATTAGAAAATTATTAAATATAGTAATGAAAAAGCAATGTGATCTTACCTGAAAACCACCACAAAAATGTTGATTATCGAGATAATTACAAGGAACAGGAAGATTCTTTCTCCATGCGCTGCTTCTGTTAATTGGATCTAACATCATACCATGACCACAAATTTGTTTCAAATTCACGATAAACATACAAAAATACAGTATTATTTGTAAAATATACATTTTGTTTTGTTTTTTTTCTTTTTCTTTTTTTTTTGTTTCTTCTCAAATTCGAATATTCCTACGAGATATACTGACTACACACTCTATAACAACGATTTATATTTCATACCATTAGAAATATCCCACCGATTGCTTTATATATTTATTATAAGCCGATAAGACGAGTGCCATGTCAAATAATCGATAAAATATAACCAATGGATGTGTAAACGCATCAATTTTCGTCTAACGTAAGATGATAGATAAACTCAAATAGGAAAAACGACGAAGAAAAATTTCGAATTTTTAAATTAAAAATTAATTTAAACAAATTGCTCTTGACCATTAAAATTTTTAATCTACGTATGATTTCAAATTGTTTACGTTATGGATGATATTTCGTTTCTTCTCATCTAATGTTAATAGTTATACCGTTGATAATTTGTTAACAATGTAATCAAATAAAAGAATAAAAATCTAATCGAAAATATTTATCGAACGTCGAACGATAAAATAATGTCAAACTTTTCTAATAATCGCTCGTGATGTTGACGATGTAGTCAGGAAAAAGAATATCAATCTTATCGATATTTGTCGTCAAATTATCTGATTACATGTATCTAAGTATATTTTTATTCTTAACCCATATATTTTAATATTACACGCAATTGATGTATCTCGAACTTCTATTAGATTTAATTTATTTTATTTACGATACTATTAAACAAAATATACTACCTAATCGTAAGTTGAATTTCATATTTTTAATATACTACCTAAAATTTTAAATATACTACCTAATCGTAAGTTGAATTTAATATTTTTAATGCATAAGATAATTTTATTACTGTTTGGATGGATTACAAGTTTATTAATAAAACATGCGAATATGTGAATATATGAATTAATGGATTTCACGTTTTCACACAGTAACACACACACACACATATTAAAAATATTAAAGTTCTATTTTTTAAATTCTACATAAATATTTTAATCATCATATTATACACATATGCTTATGTAATTGATTAAATTTTATATTTAACACGCATACACATACACATACATATATGAAATATTAAAATTTCATTCCTGGATGAGATCATTTCAAAAACTAACTATAAACGAAAAACATAATTTAATAATACGGAATACATCAACCAGCTAACTTCTTTTACCAAAAGTATACAAACAGTTTGACCTCTTTAGGAAAATGTTTTTGTCGTTTTATAATTCGAAGAAGTGTCTTATAAAAAGATACGTAGTGTTTACAAAACGTTTAGTATCATTTGTAGGATGATCAAGACAACACCTATCGTGATTTTTCGACAATTAGGCAGACAATAGTAAGAAATTTTTATTTTAATCTTATAAAAATAAGTTCATACGATATATTCTAATTTAATATACTACACATATATATAACTATACTATTAATAATATAATTTATGCATATGCAAATACATGAAATATTTCAAATATTGTTTTTTTCAAATTTAATTTTTTTATATAATTAAAAATTTACTATAGTTTCGTACATATATATAATGAATTTAACGAATTTCATGTTTTAACGATAACATATACACAATATTATTTATTACTATTTATTTTGAAACAATTCAATGTGACAGAACAATTTTGGAGTGAAGTAAAAAAAGGAGAATAAAATAAAATTAATCGATAAATTTATTAAATATTAACAAATTAGAATACATATTATGAGATGGTAATGTCAGAACAAGTTTTAAAAGTTTCTTGAGGACCGCATCCCATTTTTTCAGAACCGTCTTCGCAAACACCCCAGTTGTTGGCAGCAACGTATTCCCATCTCAAAACACAGTGTTCGCACGTAAGATTTTTAGGCAAAATCAGGGTCATGGTATAATCTTTAGCATCATGACTTTTAAGCACGTATCTGTCAGATCCATCCTCTAATTTTAAGGGGTATCGTTCAAAACACTCTTCGGTTTCCAATTCTTTTGATTTCGAGAGTTGACATATTTGAAATTTGAAGTAACCCCAATGATTAGCAGTAATACGAACTACGGCCTTAATTTTTTGACACTTTTGATATCTATCATTCAAAGAAAAATCGATATAAGATAATTATACTTAATATAGAACATCCTGATATCTTAATAATTATATAACATACGAATTATCTTTCTTTTTTTTTCTAGAAAACAATTATAATATTAACCTTCGAACTTCGTTTCAATATTATTGTATTTAACAATAAGTTTAAGTTGAAAAATATTACACTTTTTTTAATCTGTTATTAATTGTTCTCTTAAAATTAATATTATATTATAGAAATACGTGTGAATCAAAATGTAATACGTCGAGTGTATTTAATTATGTAACATCAAAATTATTGATAACGATTAGATAAATCAATGTATGCAAAAGAAAGGGGAAATTGTTAGTTTTGAAAATAATCAATTTAACATTTAATAATAATCTTATAGATAAGTTTTTTTTTTTTATATAATGTTAACATCGATGTACAATTAATTTGACTTACTTTTTGACGATCGTACCAGTGCCATAAATTCCAGTATTCTCGTTAGGTCTGGGTCGTGAAAGAGCATAATCATCCCCACAAATTCCGCATTTACCACCGTTCTTTATTTGTACCTGTTGAATTTCTTACCATTGAGCACATGATCGATGAAGAAACTTTGACCAAAAAGGGCTCGAATGAGAAATCACTAAAGATGAGATACATTAAAAAGTACTCACGTTCAAACCACCACAGAAATTTCCATCGTCGTCGTAATTCTTTGGAACTTTAAATCCTTTTCTCCAAGCACTGCTTCTATTAACGGGTTCCATTAACATACCATGACCATAAATTTCTTCGACGGATATAACCATTAAAATAACAACTATGAAAAGTTTGACAGCAATCATTTTGTAATTAAATTCGTATGACAATCAATACATGTACGTGATAGAATGAATTAATATCGATTAAACTTTTTATTCGTTTGACGAATTTAATATTATATTTATAGGATATCTCATCAAGATCAATGAATGTAAATTGTGTCTTATCATTAATTAAGATAACGAGAATATTAGTCGATATTTTTTAATGATTATCTTTTATCCAACTTCTACTTTTGTTTTCAACGTAATCTATTATATACCTTATTCGAAAATTATTAACACTTTTATTTTCTTAATAATATAATTTTTTTTAATTACACTAAATTTCTATCTTACGAGAGTTCCTACAATAGGCTAGAAAAATATATTAATCAATTTGTTGGTGTAAAACATTAAAAATTTTATTTATATTTAAATAATTAATAATTATAATGGAAATATATATATATATATTTTTATTATATATATTATATATATATAAATTCAAATACAATCAATGAAAAAGTTATATGTGCTTTTTTACGTAGTCATTTTATTATTTTAATAGGAGAACAAAATATTGGACTTGATAATAGTTATTTTAAAAATGTTATTTATATTATTCGTATTATACAAAATATATTCTTGTATAATACGATTACTTGTATAACGCCATTTAATACATTGCGTGATGTATTAATCACTTTACGTAAAAGTTTGATATATATTTACTTACGTTCTCATTAATTTATGTCAAAATTTTCAATAATAAATCGTAAACAAATCGTAATTATCGTATTAATTTAATATCGCGAAAATAACAAATTTAGATCATAAATTATTACGTATTCGCTAACGTCACTCATAAAAGAATGAATATTATTTGTTAACGATAAACTCGACATTTAATTTGTATTCGTTTGATTATTATCAAGATTGTCATCGTGTGAGATTACAAAACAAAAATTTTACGTGGCAAAATAATCGCGAGAAATTTAATTGAAAATAAATTTACTCGATCGATTATATTTATATTTATCTGAACACGTTTATATATTTTTAAACAAACCTCTGGAATATCGTTCCATTTGTATCACATCTTCTTTGTTTTTTTAAAACTTACAATTAGTCTTTTGTTTATTGCTACTTGTTTATTTATTCATTCTTCTCAGTATTATTAAAACTTCTTTTATTCGTTCTTTATATGGTATAGTAGGATATTTTTAGGTAATGGATGAATAAAAATTTTAAAAAACAAAATGCCATGAGAAGAATATACGACGAATGACATTTATTCTCATTTTCGTTTCCTTGAATTAATTTAAAGTACAGATTTGGTATAGAAGATCCTACAAACAAAAGTATTACATATTTATGTAACGTGGGAAGGGAAAAAGAGAGAGAGATTCCGAGAGAGAGATATATATACCTATATATATATATATATATATTCTTTTTTCATCAAGCAATTAAAATTCGTATAAATATTTGAAATGTTACCGATATACATTACGTTACAAATATTTTGTTCATATTTGTTACGTTTCTTTTCGGTACTGATGTGAGTACTATATATATATATATGTGTATATATACAGATCATTTGGATTAAGAAGATAGATCAAATTACGATCTTTTATTTAAGACAAATGTTTAAGATCGTAGACGTTTGAATAATTGGTCAAGCTTAAGCTTTGAAAATCCGTGAGAATATTTATTTTTAACTTATATATATATCTTCTGTATATCTTTGTGAACAGATCTGTTTTATATATATATATATAAATACAAATAAATAAAGAAAAAAAAAAATAAAAACATAAATACGTATATATACGAATGAGCGGACAGTGTACACTTTACAAATTCGTATTTAATAAAATTAAATTAAAAGGAAACAATATTTTAAATACAATTAATTGATATGTTACTTTAAAATCGTAAAAGAATTCTAAAGGATTAACATAAATTTGCACAACTAGAAGTTCGCCAACTTTTTCTAACAATAAAATATATACTTAACATATATTATATTTATATAGTATATGTATATGTATATGTAGGTATCTATACGTTGTGCGTACAACTATTATTTTGATCAAACGATCAATCGTAACACTTTTCATTTTTCTCTTTCTTTCTCTTTTAGTTTTTCTCTTTTCTTTTTTTTTTTTTTATTTATTGTTAATTATTTATTTCGTATCTTTCTTCTCTTTATATTATATGTATGTATGTATACGTATATACACATCGCTTTTCTCGATAACCAATTTTGTTTTCTTGCGTGAATATCATTTTAATAAATTATTTCAATCATTTCACGCTCTTGAAGATTTGAATTATAATAGATATTATAATATTAATGTCATCGCGTTAATCGATATCTTTGATTTTATTTGTTGATAATAATCGATAAATGAAAATGACGAGTATAATAGTACCGTTAATCGTTAAATTTATGAAGTTTTATAATGATGATTAATCGAGTCAAGTATATAAAGAAAGAAATATAAGAATTTAATTCGAACTTTCATATCGAATCGATTTATAAGAAAAATGAAAGGAATTTATTCCGATCGCATAAATGTTTTTCATTTCAACGAGTATTATACCAAAGACCCTGTAATTTGTTTGCTCATATTATTATTAGTCACGATTTATTGGTATTTATCGATCGTATAATAAAAAAGAAAATTAATATTTTCTTTTTCTTTTCTTACACACAAAATTCATAAAAATAAAATTTATAATTAAATTATTACAAATTGATAATTATATATATATCTTGATAATTTGTGACACCAAGTCAAAAGATAAAGAAAATTGATTTACAATTTTATTTTATAATATAAACAATTGTAATGAATAAATACATCATAAAATCAATGTTTTTTTCTTTTATTTTAAAACACTGTCATAATTATCGTTATAAAATATGCTATAAGACGATACGATAAATAACCATTATAGATTTAAATGCAAAAGCACGGGAAATGTTTAAACTATAACGGGGTTTTCTTTTTCTTTTTTTTTTTTAAGTAGTTAGATTATCATCGAAATCTATATAAGAATCTAATTGAGAGCTTCTTCGTCTATTATTGATTAAAATTCTTCCTAACTGAAAGATAATTTTTTCTCAGGGTCTCTATATTGTTAGAATATTTATAATGCATTTTGTATTATTTATTCGCATATTTCGGAAGCTCTTCTTCTTCTATTTCTTCTTCCGGACGGTGTACTATCATGGACGTGGAATTGGTGATAATTTTGATCGTTGGTTCGATCGTCGATCCAATAATTGATTTTTCCATAAGAGTAGGTGATCGAATAGGTTCCTTAGAAAAATATAAAAAGAACGAAACAAATAAATAAACATAAAATTAAAGAGATTTGAAACTACATATATATAATAATAATAATAAATAATATTTATTTATATTTTTATAAAATATAATTCTCACCTCGATAGCATTTGATTTGAAATTCCACAAATTCTGTTGCCTTAGATCCTCCAATTGTTTTTCCAAAATATCGTTCCGATTGTTATTAGTTTCGTCGAAATTATCGTCGTTCTTCGATATCGTATATTTTTCCGATGCAACAGCCGAAACAGCAACAAAAGCATTTTTCGATAAATTTGTCGAAAAATTAGATGCCATGCCTGATTTCATAATCGGTAAAGTGGTTACCCTATGATAACTAAATTGTTTCCATTTCGAAGGCCACGAGTTTGATCTTTCATAAGTGTTATTCCAATTGTTCGTTTTATATATCGGTAAAGTTTTCTTCGAATGATCATCTTTTATATTCGTTTCGTTAATTTTCGAAGAAGATCCGTTGGAAATGATTTTATGATTGTTTATCCCTAAATCCACGTTTTCAGGTTGACCTTTGTCAAAATTACTTTTACGATCACGTAAAACATAATTCTCTTTATTTGAATAATCATTTTCCAATTTGGACGGCCAATAAATAATTTTATTTGAGGTTGAAGACCAACGATCAGAAGGATTAGATTCGTCTTGCAATAATAAATCGCGTTCATTGTTCCAAGGATTAAAATTTTTGGGTCTTGTAGACCAAGACTCAACTTCGTTGATATGTTTTCCATAATTTGAAATCATATTGTTATTACCGTTTGATTCAAACCAACGTTGCATCGTAGTTTTTGTAGGATTCTCGTTGATCGGTGGTGCATTTTGCTGATGTTCGAATCGATTGGAAATCGATGTTGATTTGTCAGCAGGCATGGCCCAAGAAGAATCAATCGATTGTACCTTTGGTAAATTAGAATTAAAAGCATATTTCCTAGACCATACTGGTTTTTCTTTGTTCCCACGGTACCAGCTGTAAACGTCATCAATTAAAGATTCGAATCGACGATTGTCATCGGCTTTAGGTTTTCCCCAATCCATCATATTCTTTGATTTAACATTGTAATTACCGTAATCTAATATATCCTTCGGTAATTTGTATTTTTGAATCGATTGATTTTCTTCCTTAGACGAATTTCTTTGATCGTTTTCCAAAACGTTCCATTGATCGTTAGGCATTTCATAAATCTTTTCGTCATTTTTATCTAAGCCTAATTTTTTAACCAAATCCGCGTTAGGATTGTACGATTTTCCGTTCTCATCTTTCGGCCATGGTTTCGTATCCGAAGATTTGTAAGGCCAAGTTGCCGGATCTGATGTCAAACTGTTCCAAGTAGTCATACTGATCTTAGGTAAGGAAACTTGACTTTTACCATATTGTCTGGCCATTTTAGTAGTCGATTTAGGTGTTTCGGGATAAGATCTGATTTTAGTATCATCCCATGGTGTTGTTATAGTCTTTCGTTCAACATTATCACGAGTTTTTAATATTTGACTACTTTCCGTTTGCGACCAGGGTGGTTTAACTTGAAAAGGTGGGTTAACTTGCGAACCCGACCAAACATTAGGCCCTTCCAATTCCCAAGGATACGAAAAACGTCCGTCGTCATCTTCATCACGTTCCCTGTCCTGTTGTCTTTGCCTTCGTTCCTGCAATTCTCTCCATTCACGCCAATTCCGATCTATTCGATTATCCGAACCAAAATCCGATTCGGAATCTTCCTCGTCATTGCCATTGTCCAACGGTGTCCAAATATTATTTCTAATCGTTGGCCAAGTTCTACCACGAGTTGACCAATAATTATTATCGTATTGGGATTGTCTCCAAGGCCATTCGTTAGGTAAACGCGATGACATAGTACGTTCATCCCGTCCATCCCATCCGTCCATTTTCCAAGGAAGATTATTATACTTCGAAGATGCATCCGGCCAACTTCTACTGATTGGATAATTCTTATTAGGTGGTTTGTTATCTCTCACGCGTGCAAACTCTTCCTCCCATCGTCCATTATCATCGTCCTGATAATCTTCCTGACCTTTTTCCTGAGCGAAATCACGCGGTGGTAAAATTATCTGACCGAATCTAAAAGATTGAAGGACTCGTTCGGGTTTTTCGTAATCTCTTAAACGTTCTACTTGCGTGTCGAATCCGTTACGATTAGGATTGTTTTTATCTAACGTATAATAATTCGGTTTTATTGATAATTTCTGTCCCTTTTGCAAAGATAACAAATATTTTCGTCTATCCGTATTTAATTCCTTTAAATTATTCGGTTCATCGATATATCGTCGATCATTAATCGTTCTTGGTTTCGAATTGGCTGAATAACGAATCTTTGCTATGTCGTTTGATTCAACCTGAACTTTATCTTCCCAATTTGGTACAGATAATTTATCCGATAATAATTGCCATTTAGCTGACGTCTTTGTTGGATGAGATGTTATCGTTGATGGTGGTGGTGGTGGTGGTGGTGGTGGTGGTGTTATTATTTCCGTAGTCGTTGTCGTTATGGTTGTTGTAGATTCATGATCTTGTAACTTTTTCTTCTTCTTCATCTTCTTCTTCTTCTTCTTCTTCTTCTTTTTCTTAGTTTTCTTATGTTCCTTTTGCGAATCATCCTGTAATACCTCGTTAATCGTAGCAAAGGTAGTTGATAATCCATCGTCATTTCTTTTCTCGATATTATTCATATTCTTTAAGTAATGCATATATGCACTTTCGTCCACTAAAATTGGGTAATATCATTTTTCTATTTTTTAATCTACTATCAAATGGGAGTCTATATACAATTGGTTACAATTCATAATTATCGTTATTTATTCCCTCCTTTTTTTTTTTTTAAAGTGTCTCAAGTGTAAAAGTTGTATATAAATTGTAATAGAAAGTTATTTAAACAAATTGTTCTAATTTATTGTTCTAGATATATATTTTGATTTTATTTAAGATTAAAGTATAAAAATAAATTCAATAATTATTATTTATATTTATTTTTGACTTACGTATGAGATTTTGTTTTTTATAATATCGTTCCAAAAGTCCAGGTAAATCTGCATCAAGTTTTAATAAAAATTTACCTATTTTCTCTTCTTGATCCTAATGATAAATAATACTTGATTAATTTAATTTCAAGATTGATAGAATTTTATTCGAAAAACGAATAAAAAATCTAGCTAACGATTCTTACCTTTGTTTCGTGCAATTTTTCTTTATCCTTTGAAACGGTTCGTAATACTTTAGTCACATTTTTCACTAAATTTTCAAGCCATTTATTAAACAATTCTTGAATATCGTCGGATATATTGACGCGTACGTCATTTCTATCAATGTCCTTGATGGGTGACGTTCTTTTATCCTTTGCTCGCTTTTAACGAATAAACAAGAATTTTTTAATTAATTATAGCATCAGAGCACCGATATCAATTTTCCGATATAAAAAAACAAGTTGTTTAATAAAATATTTTAAATCAAGTTTCATAAATAAATAAGCTAACATAGCAGTTCTGAAATTTTTTAAATTCGTAAACCGTTAAATCATGAATCTTACATTTTTATTTTTATACAAGCTGAAAAATAAATTTCAATCTGTACGAGGTATTTATTTTTTACTAGATAAATTATTACAATATGAAATTTATATAGTTTATATATTTTCTAACGAAAAAAATTTTAATGTATGATAATTAGAACGACTATTAAAAAAATAATGAAATGTTAAAAGATATCGAATTAATTGAACAAATCACGAATTACAGTTGTAACAAATCTTAGAACAATTGTATTTGAATGTGTAGGATAATAATACTCGAAAAAATTCAACTTTATTTCCCACCTCAATTTTTCGTGAATCTTCTCTTTTTACATGATCAGTTTCTTCGTTCAAATCATTAAAAGTTTCTTCGGATGGTACGAAACTTTTCGGAACTTGAGTCTCGTTACCAGGAAGAATGATTTCTTTTTGTGTACTCAATTCTTTTTTCACGGTGGGTACTCGCTTTTTCTTTTTTTTTCTAATACCTTCTTCTTCCTCTATTTGCCTCAAGCCCTTTTCTTTTTTATATTTTATTAAATCTGCTACCTAAGAAAGAAAAAAAAAATAACGAAACAAATTTTTTATAATAATAATGTGATAATATATTATTTACCTATCAGCATTACAAGGAATACGATATATTACTAATTGACAAGAAAGAATAAAATGATAAAATGAATAACGACTAAACTAGATAATTAAAACGATAATATAAACAATAAAATAAAATGAAATAGTAAAAAATAGATAAAGAATTATTTGTATATAGTAATGTTTTCATTTAATTCTTTTTTTATTTTAGAGGAACCAACCTCTATAACGAATGAACTAGATAATTAAATAGATAATACAAAAAATAAAATAAAATAGTAAAAACTAGAGATAAAACTCGAAACAAAATATTATTATGTTTTATCAAATAATGTTAAAATATTTTTGTTCATTTGTTCAAACGAACCAACCTCTTTATCTTCGTGTTTCTTAGGCAATTCGTCGCTAATAGCTTCATTGAAAGCAACATCTTCCTCCGATTTATTTTCAAGAACATTTTCATGCGACTCAAAATTTTTCCCAGCGGACGAATTATTCGTATTAGATTGAACGATATCATCTCTAGTCTCATCTTTCGTTTCATCTTTCGACATAGCTTCGTGAGACTCTGCCAAGGCTTTTAATTCGTCCTCGTATTCGTTTCTTTCCTCACCCTCGTATTCTTCTTTACCATCTTCCTCTTCCTCGTTCTCTTCCGAAACATATTTTTCACCCCTCTGTTCGTTTTCTTCTTCGTCTCTGTTACCACCCTCACCTTCATCTTCCTCATCCTCGTCATTCTCCTCCTCCCCCTCCTCCTCTTCCTCCTCCTCCTCCTCCTCTTCTTCTTCCTCTTCCTCAAAAACTCTCACGTGTTTCAACGAATCGTTCGTAGAATTGATCTCACCGGTTTTATGCGTTATTATAATCTATAACATACGTTACGAATGACAACAAAATATTATAATACTAATCTGATATTTTTTTTCACCGATACAACGTTTCCCAAATTTTTATATAATAGAATAGTTTAATATTAAATATATTAATCGACGAATATAAATCATCCTTTAGATTTTTAAATGTTATCTAATTACGAAATTATATCATTTATTTCGCTTTTAATAAAAATTAACACGGTAGGATTTTATTATCGAATAGATGGATAATTGTTTTAAGAAACGTTGCAACGTTATTATTAATAATTAACTCACCGAGGTATTATCCACGTTAGATTCTAACTCGGCTTTGGCGTTGACTATTAAGAAAAGGAAAAAGAAAAAAGAAAAATAATGATAAGTATATACTTTTAATTTGAATACGTTTCAATGCAATATATTATATAATATAACTTTTAATTTAAAGAAACTTTATTCTCTGTATAGTAGAAAATGTCGATCAATAATAGAACGTAGGCGCTTCACGTACGACGAACATCGTCCGAGCTTTTTCCGAGCTTTTTCCGAGCTTTCTCAATCGATGCAAAAAAAAGACAAAAAGGCAAACAAAAGAAACGATTATTTCAAATTTATTTTAATGTTAACGAAAATATTTAGATAGATTAAATTATTGCAAAAATTTCTTTATCTTGTAATATAGTAAATTTAAATAAACATACGTACGTTATACGTTATTTGACTTTTAGTTATAATACGCATGATCCATTTTACTCTTTTATTTTTTATTATCATGTAGTATGAATTTTATCTAACTCATTGTTAATAAAATAACATTTAAAAGTATATTATAATCCATGAAAAAACATATTAAGAAAATGTGAGAAATTTCTTGGAATGATATAATATAAAAGGGTTAACGCAACTATTTGTAATATGAGAACCTACTGTCAGTCAATTAAATTGAAATTTGGTATCACAACAATTTTAAAAGAAGAAATTCTTTTATTCTCGTATTTCAGTCTCACACACCCTATTTCTCTCTTTCCCTTTATCTGTAATAATACCGTCTAGAAAAAATACGTGATATAATTAAAAAAATTAGAAAAAGAAAAAGAAGAAGAAGAAGAGCGATTAATCGAAGATGATAATAGAAATCCATTTAGTTCGAGAGATTACTACGACATTTTACGAAGATTAAAACCGGAGATAGAAACGGAGAATCGATAGTGAGAATAAAAATTTAACGAGACTTTTCTTTTTCTTTGTTTCTTTTTTTTTTCTTTTTCTTTTTCTCTTTTTTTTCGATAAAAAGATTTCGAGCGTTCGAGCGATGCTAATCAAATGTAAAAAAAAAAAGAAAAAAAGAAAAAAATAAGATAAAGTTTCTCGAGGAAAATTAGTTTCTATCACGTACATACGTCCCCTTTTCAATCTCTACTTCTATTTTTCTCCATTTTATTTCTCATTCATTTATTATTCGTCCTTTAAAGAAATCTTGGCCACTTGCTATTTCCAATTATATCTGCACTTTCATCGTCGTCCTTTTCAAACGAATCCTTTTCATTTTATCTCTTTTATCGATTTTCACCGTTAATATTAACATATAAACGAGAGTTTCGATGTTTTATCTATTATCTCATCTTCCTAATGATAAAAAAATTAAAAATCTAAACTTTGTATATAACAAATTTTCGATCGTTCAATTGTTATTTAAAGAAAGAAAAATTGATTGGACAAATTTTAACGATTATTTGTTAATTTTAAAAATGATTTTTTTTGTTAAATATTTAATAATAAACGAAAATATACATTTGACGAGTTACTCGTTGATAATAATTCTCATCCAAAAATATCTAATTTTATTTTGTTATCATTCAATTTTAATGTTATACACGTAGCATGTAATTTGTGTTAGACGAGTATACTCGTAACATCTCTCGTTTTTTAATATAATAATATTATAAAAAGATTAGAAAATCATTCAAAGGATATCATAGTTCCCTTGAGAGAGAATCACAATACCATCCAAAACTTGAACACTATGATAAGCATATCATTAATCTTGTTAAATTATAACTATAATAAATATTTTATATATACTGTCGTATCTCTCTCTCTCTCTCTCTCTCTCTCTCTCTCTCTCTTACTAATGATAAATTACAAATCAATCAATTTTGAATAATTTCTAGAAAATCATTCGTTAGATATAATAAATATTCTGAGAGAAAATTAAACGATTTCTTGAACACTACCTTGGATACATAATTCACCTTGCCCAATTATAGTCGCAGTAAATATTATAAATCTATTACTATGAAAGACCGAAATTGGTGAATGTCAAGATACACATGGTCCGAAATATTAATGTATAAGAATATATTGAAATATTCGTTCTTTCACTGACGTATTTGATTTCTGCAGAAATTTCATGTATACATGAATCTTGACATTCTCCAATTTCGGTCTTTCACGCTAACATATCTATTTTAACTCGTGTCAGTGAGCCAGGTCCAAGTACTCCCTCGCGATATATGCACCTGACTTGCTTATCAGCTCGATCGATAACAACGCTTTTCCACCTATGTCGTAGTCCTCCTCACCTCGTTCCTAGACTCACCATCATGTTTCTTTCTTCCTCTATTTCTCTCTCTTCGAAAGCAAAACTGACAAGATTCATCTTTTGATCCCTAATTGCTTTGAAAACATAATTTCACGTTTCTCGTTAAGCTCGCTAAAAGGCAATAAGATGTATTGGGTTGATTCATAAATAATTGTCTCATCTTTAGTTTAAAATTGATTACAATAAAATGCGAATATATTTATAAATACGTTATTTTATCACATCGTAATTCTTATTTATTACCATTTGTTGTTGTTTTTTTATGACAATTGCGTTGATTCATAAATAAGTTCCGCGTAGTTATCAAAGTTATATGTTAGTTTGCTAATTAAAAGAAAATCTTCATAAACCCGTTCAAGTTTTCGAATATGGTTTGAAATGATTTGTTCTGTTTTGTCACGATCAGATATTCTGAACTTTAATATTGTTAAAAAGAAAAAGGGATTTTACTGTAAAATTCTGTATACGTGTTAAAGCTTGAGATATCATTATTATAGAAAACTTTTTAATATACTTGATATAATAAACATTTTATTCATAAATATGATATTTTATAATAATTTAGAATAGTAGAATAGTTTTTCATTATTAACTCGTTATATTTATTATAATCGATCCAATATAATAAATAAAATACGATTAAGTAGAAAAAGAATTTTGCTAATGAATAAAAATGATCTTTAAAAAAAAAAACCAAATTACGGTATTATTCCTTCCAACAAAAACTTGGATCTTTTCCAACAGATGTTACACGTTATACGAGGAGGTGGTTACTTTCATAATATCGGTATTTCTTTTGCCTTTAGAAAACTCATCGGTTTCTTTTAATGTACGTGATCGAAGGAAAAAAAAATATAGATATTTTTACATTAGTAGTATTAGTAGTAACAGTAGTAGATACTACTTTTCTTTGTAACTATACTTGACTAATAAGAGAAATAAAACGTCTATACCCACGCATCGAATAGTGAACACACAACATCGTAGGGTTTCGTTCTCATGCTTAATAATATACTTATTTTTCTCTTGGCAATTCTGTTTTTTCTACTTTTGTACACGTTACTTGACAATGTTACGGACAAATCGACGGACGTTTGTTAAATTCCATTTTATTTATTTTTTTTTCTTAGATATTTTATATATACAATCATATTTTTCTGTGATATTTAATATCTCCTAAATTCTTATCGATAAGTTTAAAAAAAAAAAAAAAATACAAATCAGAAAAGAAATGAAAAATACGTAGAAACGATTAAACGAAAAATATCGACAGATTCAATTTTTTTAGCTTTAAAAAACAAAAAAAAACAAATAAAAATATGGAATACAAAAATTAGGTCAGATTCGAATACGAAAGAAAAAATCGGAGTTGGCCTGCTTTAGTAAAGGAACCTCTGTATTTATGGGCAGTGGCTTAATATCGATCTCATGACCTCTGAAAGAATCGAGTGGGTCGACGTGGTCCTTGAAATAAACTCTTTCATTTCATCTTTATACTTTCTCCTTTTCACTCTTCTCTCTCTCTCTCTCTCTCTCTCTCTCTCTCTCTCTCTCTCTCTCTCTCTCTCTCT